ATTATATACACCTGGAAAATCCTAGAGGGACTAGTACCGAACTTGCTCACGAAAATCACTCACTACGAAAGCAAAAGACTTGGGCAAAACGATGCAACATCCCCCAATGAAAAGCAGGGGTGTCACTAGCACGTTAAGAGACCATACAATAAGTGTTAGGGGCCCGAGACTGTTCAACTGCCTCCCAGCATACATAAGGGGATTACCAACAGACCCCTGGCAGTCTTCAAGCTGGCACTGGACAAGCACCTAAAGTCGGTTCCTGACCAGCCGGGCTGTGGCTCGTACATTGGTTTGCATGCAGCCAGCAGCAACAGCCTGGTTGATCAGGCTCTGATCCACCAGGAGGCCTGGTCATAGACCGGGCCGCGGGGGCGTTGACCCCCGGAACTCTCTCCAGGTAAACTCCAGGATGCGACCCACACCAGTCGACTAACACCCAGGTACCCATTTTAATGATGGATGAACAGGGACAGGGACACCAGGTGTCATGGAAACACATCCCTAATGTTTTTCATACGTACCGGAGGAGATTCGAACTCCCGACCTCAGTGTGTGAGCTGCGTGCTCTAGCCATCGAACTACGGGATGGTATTATGCCATTATGGTATATATGATAGTGGAAAAACATAACTAAACCTAACCTAACTGGGGCACCTGGCCAGTTATACACCGCTCTGGTTCCCAGACAAAAAAATATTTGTCAAAATACACTTCATTAGAGTACAAAACAAATTCTGGCCACAAAATAGAGCGAAACACCAACGTCAAAGACCTGGGAGTGATCATGTCGGAGGATCTCACCTTCAAGGACCATAATATTGTATCAATCGCATCTGCTAGAAAAATGACAGGATGGATAATGAGAACCTTCAAAACTAGAGAGGCCAAGCCCATGATGACACTCTTCAGGTCACTTGTTCTATCTAAGCCGGAATATTGCTGCACACTAACAGCACCTTTCAAGGCAGGTGAAATTGCTGACCTAGAAAATGTACAGAGAACCTTCACGGCGCACATAACGGAGATAAAACACCTCAATTACTGGGAGCGCTTGAGGTTCCTAAACCTGTATTCCCTGGAACGCAGGAGGGAGAGATACATGATTATATACACCTGGAAAATCCTAGAGGGACTAGTACCGAACTTGCACACGAAAATCACTCACTACGAAAGCAAAAGACTTGGCAGACGATGCAACATCCCCCCAATGAAAAGCAGGGGTGTCACTAGCATGTTAAGAGACCATACAATAAGTGTTAGGGGCCCGAGACTGTTCAACTGCCTCCCAGCATACATAAGGGGGATTACCAACAGACCCCTGGCAGTCTTCAAGCTGGCACTGGACAAGCACCTAAAGTCGGTTCCTGACCAGCCGGGCTGCGGCTCGTACGTTGGTTTGCGTGCAGCCAGCAGCAACAGCCTGGTTGATCAGGCTCTGATCCACCAGGAGGCTTGGTCACAGACCGGGCCGCGGGGGCGTTGACCCCCGGAACTCTCTCCAGGTAAACTCCAGGTAAATTCAGATATACACCCTACAGGCATATATATCATTACCAATAACAATTGACAATTCATGCCCTCGTGTTCAAGGATTTTTTTTTTTTCAGACCTGGGGTCGATAGTTAAAAGATAAAATCCTTGGGATGACCTTTTCTGGATTTTTCTTAAAAAATTTTTCACCATCTTTTTTTCCTTCCAAATGGGGGCATGGAGAGCCAAAAAGGGTAGAAGTTGAGGTTGAATAGTGTACCCTTTTACGTTGAATAAAGGGTAGTTTCCTTGTTCACTGGGTTTTCTTCCACATTAGGGCAGCCTTCCACATAACCCTCTCAGTTTGCCTTGAAAAGACCTTACAAAAAAAGTTTTTTTTGTCGGTTGAGGGATGAGCAGCGGTCTAGGGGCCCATGCTAGGCTGTCCTTTTTATTTATCTCCTTAGCCAATATTTACTAGGCGTATTTTAAAATTACTCATTGGTGTTCTTCCCATTGTGTTACCTTCCAACAAATGTCAGTTTGAAAGTAAAGACACTGTGCAAATCTGGATTTCTTTTTTGTAGACGTTTCGCCAGCCATTTGCTCATGTCCTTATCAAACTGCGTTAAAAAAACGCCAGTCTTCTTTGCCTTTGCTCCAGATTTCTCCCCCAACCACGTTGCGTGAACACTAACTACAAGGCTGAGGACTGTTTACCTAATTTTGTATATGTTCTACAGTCTTCCAATTATGTCCTAGAATTTTGTTTTGATAAAGCCACTGATGGCGAAGCGTTTTACTAGAAGATATCCAATGTTGCACATGTGTTGTGGAAAATTTGCATTTATCTGATTAACTAATTATGTAATCTATGCATAGTATAAGTGGCTTGCATGCGCTCTTATCTGTATTTTTTGTCCCTCTGTAAGTGTGCTAATTAAAAATTTAAATAAATAAATAAATAACATTTAAATGATAACAAAGATAATTATTATTTATCAATGTTACATAGAAAGTAGGAATTTGGGACACCTAGGTGGAAAAAAATGTCCCCCTTCGATACCTACCACGTCATAACCACAAGTTGTTCTGGACCTATTAATTAAATGAAATATACATACCCCAAAGAATACTGGTAAATATATAAATTTGTGGACTGTATTTTAAAAAATTTAATAAATGGTTAATTTTATACACAATTACATAACAGAAGGAAAATATATCTTAATATCACTCACCAATTTGACTGGAGATTAATGTGTATCATACTCAGAAAACCTCACTCTAACTAAATCTATGAAATAATGCTGGCCAGAATTACACACAAAATCTAGAGAGCTTATCTGAGGTTCCTGGAGCTGTCTTGTCCAGTCGTCTGATATCTCAAGTTATGCAGGAATGCACATCCACCAATTTCGCCTCCTATCTGAGAGGTGTCAACACAATTTTAACCTCTAGAGCACGAAAAATTCCTCCCATTACACCAACGTTTGTACAAAATTCAAAACCAAGATGGCGAGTCCCGTCTGCGCAGACGCAGGCTTTCCGTTTTCTATGACATAAATATTATTAAATACAATATGGCCATCTATTTACATATAAATACTGAATTTCTGGAAAATATATACAGTATTTTCCACATGTGTCTTTACTTTCATATTGTCGGTATTTTACACCTTTCTTGCACAAATGTCAGTTTGCAGATTATTGGCAGTTTTTATTCCTCGGTAGCAGTGTCTTGGAAAACAGCACTTTAAAAACTCGCTTCTAGGATTCACTCACTTCCTAAGTTAAGCTTCCACATTAATGTTTACTTTTACCAGCACACATATGCCTTGTAGTATACAGCTCTAGTATATGTAGCACACACTTCCTCTTTTAGTAAATATTTCCAGTAGTTGTTGCACACACTTCTTTTAGTATACAATTCCAGTGATTGTAGAACTTGCTTCTTCTTGTGGGATACACTTTTAGTGATTGTAATACATACTTCCACTTGTGAGACACACTTTAGTGGTTGTAATACACACTTCCACTTGCGAGACACACTTCTAGTGGTTGTAGCATACACTTCCACTTGTGAGACACTTCTAGTGGTTGTAACATACACTTCCACTTGTGAGACACACTTTAGTGGTTGTAACACACACTTCCACTTGTGAGACACACTTCTAGTGGTTGTAACATACACTTCCACTTGTGAGACACACTTCTAGTGGTTTTAACATACACTTCCACTTTGTGAGACACACTTTAGTGGTTGTAACATACACTTCCACTTGCGAGACACACTTCTAGTGGTTGTAACATACACTTCCACTTGTGAGACACACTTTAGTGGTTGTAACACACACTTCCACTTGTGAGACACACTTCTAGTGGTTGTAACATACACTTCCACTTGTGAGACACACTTCTAGTGGTTGTAACATACACTTCCACTTGTGAGACACACTTCTAGTGGTTGTAACATACACTTCCACTTGTGAGACACACTTAGTGGTTGTAACATACACTTCCACTCGTGAGACACACTTAGTGGTTGTAACATACACTTCCACTGTGAGACACACTTAGTGGTTGTAACATACACTTCCACTCGTGAGACACACTTAGTGGTTGTAACATACACTTCCACTCGTGAGACACACTTAGTGGTTGTAACACACTTCCTTGTTTTTTATTTTAAGTTGTGTAAGTTTCATTGTGCCATTTTTATTAATCAAATTGGTTTCAGTACAATAACTGCAGAATGTCTCGTCTGATCAGAAATAAGCCACAGTGTTTGACTTTATTTGGTTATCTTTGGTTAAGTCAATATAATGTAATTTTTGGGTGCCTATAGTGTATGTGTGTATCCTCAACTTAATTTTTTTTTACTCAAGGTCATTGTAGAAGAATAATGTTACGTGTCAAAATCTATATCAAAATTACTTATTTGCATGCAAGCTTTAACGCTGGTCAGTCTCAGAGAGCAGTTTGGATTTTGTTAATGGGAAGAAATGGGACAATTGAAATAATGGTTTTCATGAGATAATTTCTTGGGGTTTCATCAGACTGGCTTCAAACCTTTAATAATGATTATAATGGAACTTCTGAGTGGCTTCAGACTTAAAGTGCAGCTATATTTTAGGATACTGGTTTCTGAAATAACATACGTATACTTCTTTGGCTTTGCTTCAGTGTTGTTTCTTATCGCAAGGTTTGAATTATTTTTTTTGGTTGAAGAAATTACTATATTAGTTTGTGAATGCCTCTTCTGATTTGTTTCAAATGTTCATGACAAATATTTAACTGTCTTATAAGCTTACGCCGGGTTTTGCATTATTCATATTGCGTCCACTGAGGTGACTGATATACATTTAGTTGTTACAGAATTTGTAATAATTATATTAATACGGAAACAAGAATATATAAAAGGAATACCTGCAAGTAGATGTCAGTGGCTCGACAAACCCGGAGGGTTAAAAGTGGCATAATTGATGGGGTGTGCGTGCGCATCGCCTTGGAAGGAGTTTATGAGGAAGGTAGTGGGTCCTGGCCCACTCAGTGTACAGAAGTCTTTATATCAAGCCAGAACCAAACCAACTCACCTTCACCATCGTCTCTACTGCAGGCACAGCTCTAAGTATCCTAGGTAACTATCTATGTTAATGCAAATAGAGCTGTCGGTTTTTTCTTATAAACACTGGACCAGGGATCAAATTTTCTAGGGAAAGAATGTGGAGTAATTTAAATACACTGTAGATATAATTTAGAGAAACATTTTGAACGGTGTGATTGTAATTATTGTCTTTTAAAATTATATTATTTTACATATTTTAAAAGGGTGTAATTTCATATGGGCCGTGGCCTGGTGGCTAAAGCTCCCGCTTCACACACGGAGGGCCCGGGTTCCATTCCCGGCGGGTGGAAACATTTCGACACGTTTCTTTACACCTGTTGTCCTGTTCACCTAGCAGCAAATAGGTACCTGGGTTTTAGTCGACTGTGTGGTCCGCATCCTGGGGAAAAAGATTAAAAGCCCAATGAAAAAAAGTTAGACAGTCTCGATGACGCACTGACTTTCTTGGTTATCCTGGGTGCTAACCCTCCGGGGTTAAAAATCCGAACGAAATCTCTTAATTACTAAACGTCCTTAGGGGCCAGCCTAGCCAGGTAAAACCTTTAACAATCTAATTAATACGGGGAGAGAAAATATTATATATATATATATTTATTATATATATTATAAATATTTCGTGCCCATAGGCCCGAACTTCGATCTTGGCTTAAATAGCAACGATCATCTTGCATATAAGACAAGTGAAAATTTGTGTATGCAATAATTATCGCCAAAATAATTCTGAACCTAACGAAAAAAATTATATTTCACTGTGTTTGTTTTAGTTTTAAAATTACTGTAAACAAAAACAAAAATATATTTAGTTGAGTTAGGCTAAAATAAAATTTCGCTTGGGTTTTAATAAGGGTTTGGTAATTTCTAAGATTCTTTTGGTGGGAAAATTTTAAATTTTTACATTAACAGAATGAAAAAAAAATATATCTTTAAAACTATAAAAAAAATTTAGAATAGAAGGGCTTAATTTTTAAATGAGTTCTTGCTAATTGACCAGTTTTCATATTCGGCACGACATTTAATTAATAAATATTATTATAATTATTAAATATTATATATATATAAAATATATATATTTTATATATATATAATAAAATATTTTATATTATATAATATATAAATATATATATATATATATATATATATATATAAAATATATATATATAATTGTCGTCCCGAATATGTAAAATGGTCAATTAGCAAGAACTCATTTAAAATTAATTTCCTTTTCTGAAATTTTCTCTTATACGTTTAAAGATATATTTTTTCATTAATTTAATAGTAAAATAAATAATTTTGCACAAAAGATACTTAGAAAATTACTAACTTTTATAACAAGCGCAATTTATTTTAGCTAACCCAGCTAATATATTTTTAGATTGTTTAAATAATTTAATTACTAAACAAACACAGTGATAATATATATTTATATTGATTAGTTTCAGAATTATATTTGGCGAATATATTGCTACAAATTTTACTTTCACTATTGGCAATGATGCAGTTCTATTTAAGATATATATAGTATCATATATTGGCAGATTTAATATATATATATATATATATATATATATATATATATATATAAAGTGTGTGGTCTGTGTGTTTTACCCGGAGAGGGTTTCGGGGTCAAGCCCCCGCGGCCCGGTCTGTGACCAGGCATCATGGTGGATCAGGGCCTGATCAACCAGGCTGTTACTGTTGGCCGCACATAAGAACATAAGAACGAAGGAACACTGCAGCAGGCCTACTGGCCCATGCGAGGCAGGTCCAAGTCTCCTACCGGCTTAAGCCAATGCACCCAAACCTAGTCAGGTCAGGTCACCTTGACTTAAGGGAGGAACACGGCAACCGACCTGGTAGCACAAGCTATCAGGTCCAACTCACACCCACCCACATCCACTCATGTATTTATCCAACCTATTTTTAAAGCTACACAACGTTCTGGCCTCTATAACTGTACTTGGGAGTTTGTTCCACTCATCCACAACTATTACCAAACCAGTACTTTCCTATATCCTTCCTGAATCTGAATTTTTCTAACTTAAAACCATTGCTGCGAGTCCTGTCTAGGCTAGATATTTTCAGCACACTATTTACATCCCCTTTATTTATTCCTGTCTTCCATTTATACACCTCAATCATATCCCCCCTAATTCTACGTCTTTCCAGAGAATGAAGATTCAGGGCCCTTAGTCTATCCTCATAGGGAAGGTTTTTGATACATGGGATCAACTTTGTCATCCTCCTTTGTACATTTTCCAGAGCATTTATATCCATTCTGTAATACGGTGACCAAAACTGTGCAGCATAATCTAAATGAGGCCTAACCAAGGATGTATAGAGTTGAAGAACAACCTGAAGACTCCTATTAATTTATGCTTCTTGATATATAAGCCGAAGATACTATTTAGCTTTATTGCGAACACTTATTGCACTGTTGTCTTGGTTTCAGATTATGCTAACCAGAACTCCTAAATCTTTTTCGCAATCCGTAACATTAGATCTACAATATTAAGTTTATATGTGGCATGGTTATTGTCCGTCCAACATTTAGAACTTTGCATTTGTCTATATTAAACGCATCTGCCACCTCTCCGACCACTGCATCAGTCTACTCAAATTTCCTGGAGTGCTCGAATGTCCTCGTCAGAATGAATTCGACGGCCCTAATTTGGTGTCATCGCAAAAACTTGCCGAGGTCGCTACTTTATGGCCCGTCCATCATGTCGTTTATGTAGATTGGTGAACAGCAGGGGGCCCCAACATTGACCCCTGTGGAACACCGCTTTGACGCTTCCCCACTCTGATTTCCTCCCAATTATGCAAACTCTCTGCTTGCCTATTTGTCAACCATGCCATCTATTCCAGGAAAAAAATTCTCCTTCCCTATTCCATGTGCCTTAATTTTTCCCTCAATAGTCCTTGCCTGATGTGGACCCTGTCAAAACCTTACTGAAGTCCATGTTACACAATAACATATTCAATACTGCACTACCTACCTTAAAATACCTTAGTGAAAAAATTAACATTCGTAAGGCAGGAACGCCCCGAATTATAAACCATGCTGAATTCGTTGATATAATTTTGCTTTCAGGTGCTAGAACTGCCTAGCAATTATTGATTCCATAAATTTTCCCACCATATGGAGGTTAGCTTAATGGTCTATAGCTTTTGAGCAAAGGACCCTCCACCGTCTTTGAAAATAGGTATCACATTTTGCCATTTTCCACTATCTGGCACCATGCCATTGTTTGTATTGATATGTTGAAAAGATTAGCCAAAGGTTTGGCAAGCTCCTCTTTCAATCCGTTAATAACCCTTGCATACAGTTTCATCAGAGGCCTGGGATTTTGTTAGGTTTTAAATTTATCTATTTGCCTAAGAACCAAGTCACTTGTGACCCTAAACGAGCACGAGTTTATTATCGTCCTGTTCTACATAATTTATCATTACTGGAATATCGCTGGTATCCCTCTCTGAGTAAAAACTGAGAGGAAGAGTATGTGTTAAAAACTTCTACACATTTCCTATCACAGTCCAGTGGCTGACCCGAGAACTTTTGAATGGGCCTATCTGTCCCTGATCTAACTTTCTGTAAATCTGAAAGAATCTTTTGGGTTAGCTTCGAATCTCTTGCAACTTTAACCTCATAATCTCTTTTTGCGTTTTCTAATTCCTTTTTTTAGTTCCATACTTTAACTGAATATAATCCGATTTCTTAATTGCCCCTCTTCCTCTTTTGATTGTCTATATTGCCTCTCATTTTGACCAATTAGATTTTTTTAATCTCTTGTTCATCCATTTACGATAATTTTTTTGTTTGATTGATTTCCTATTTGGAACATAATTTTGACTGAGCAGCTAGAACTATGCCCTGGAAAGCGTCATAATCGGTATCCATCACCACCTACCTGACCCTTAGTCCAGTCATTCCCATTCAGCCCAACCTAAGGTAATTTTTCAGTCCTATGAAAATCACCAACGAAGTCAGGGACAAGAGACTTGATGCCATTAATTAGGGAGAATTCATGATATATTAAAACTGAGTGAATTTGTGATCACTTTCCCCAAGCTCATCAATAACCTCAAGATTATTATTAGTGTTTCTACCTACTGGCAAAGAACCAAGTCAAGGAGGTAATTCCCAGTTGGCTCAGGTCACAAACTGTTTTAAAAACATCCTGGATCGTAACAAGAAAGTCCCTACTCTAAATTTCCTGTCAAATTGCTCAAGTCAATCTGTCTATAGTGTGAAATCTCCTTTAGCACAACTTTCGTTTGTAGATGCTTACGAATTTCTTCCCATAGAACTTTACTGCACTCCAATCAGATTTGGGGCCCTGTAAATCACACCCAAAATTAGTTATTTCATCGCCCTCGAGAAGCCTGTAACCAAACAGATCCATTGCTGACGCTTCTAATTTTATATATCTTGCCTAACACCACAATTTAAATTGTCTCTGACATACATCGCTACTCCACCACCTTTTTCCTGTTGACCCTGTCAGTGTGGACTAAATTATAAGCCTTGTATGTGACATTCAGTAGGGCAATCTCTCTATCTTTCAGATTGAGCCAGGTCTCTGTTATAGCAATAATATCTATGTTTCCTGCACTTGCAATTAATCTAGCTCATCTATCTTATTTCTACACTCCTGCTATTAGTATAGTAAACCTTAAGGGAGCTAGTCCCTTGCTGCCCTCTGCTGTTCCCCTTTATTTGCTGACCTGATCTATTGTTTTTATTTATAACTTCATGCTGAATGCCTTTTATACATTTACTGTTTCGAACCCTAGTGTTGCAACCTGCTTGTTTCCCACACACACCCATACCTCAATCTTCTATCAGTTTAAAATCATAGGCATTTCACCAATGGCCTTCTCAATCGAGTCTGCAAGTGCTACCACCCCAGCCCCAGAGAGATGTACCCCATCCTTGCATACATATCATGTTTGCCATAAAAGTTGTTCCAGTTGTCAATGAATGGATTGCAAGTTCCTTGCAGTATCTGTCT